TGGGCAGCGCGAGCCTGGCGCTGGCGGGTGTCTGGTGGGGTGGAGGAGACTGTGGGCAGCGCGAGCCTGGCGCTGGCGGGTGTTTGCTGTGCCGTTGCTGTCATCATCCGCGTCAGAAAGCGGAGGCAGTGGTGGACTCTGAATTCTCCGGGAGCTGCCGGTGGGTGGTGTCTGTGAGGTTCTGGCACTGTGTCCATCCTGGAATTGCACCCCAGGAAAAAGGCCATGGCACCTGGACGCCCTGGGAGCAAAGGCCTCCTAGTCACCCGCTGTAGACACATGGGCTGCTGCAGAGAGCGTGGGGGACCATCTGTCCAGCCACAGCCCGAGACCAGTCACCCATCGCAGGCCCCTCTGAGCCTGGCTCTGTAGGACCTGCCTGCTGCTGTGGGGCCTCTCCCGGCCTCCCCCGACTGCTCCCTACGTGGGAGGTCAGCACAAACCACACGCAGCCACCCCATGCAACTGAGGGAGGAGAGGGTGGCAGCAGCCAGTGACTTTGGCCTGCCCCGTGCACTCTACCTTGGCAGGTGGGGCATCGCCTCGGCAGGGCTCCCGTGTCCAGGACGCTTCTGACAGAGGGCGAGGGCTGCAGCCGCAGCTTTTGCAAACCTGGAATGGGGGTGTCTTGGGATGGAGAACCTGAAAGACTAAATCAACCCCAAGGAGCACAAATGAGGTTCCTCAAGGGTCAGGAAGGCCGGGCAGCTCCCCTCTCGGCCCCTGTCCCGGAGGAACAATTTACAGAGGTGCCAGGGAAGACCCCCAGTGGCTTGGGTGCAGCCTTGGCCTGGGGCACGGAGCCTGGCTTTGTGGTACTGCAGTGCACCCCGCAAAGGTCTCTGCGGGCACCCTGGGCCCTCACCTGCAGGAACCCCCTTCAGCATCCAGCCCAGTCCCTCAGTGGCCCACGGCTGATGAAGGGAGCCGCATCCCTCGGGGCTGAACATGTGTGAGGCTGCTGAACTCCGCTGGAAAGGGTCGTCTGCCAGGAGCGGTCCCCGCCCTGCTTCCTTTGCTTCCCAGGGCGCGCCGCACACTCATTGTCTCTCCTTTGGGTCAAAACCGGCATTAAACTTTCTGTCCTTTTGATTCAAGTTTTAAAATTCTGAAATAATCCTCAGCCCATGCTGCTAATTCTAACTCCCGTATGCTTAAGTGTGAAATAATTACACGTTCCCTCCCGAACTCCCAAGTACCCATTGTGTGAGCCCCGCGCCTTCTGTGGGCTCTGTCGTGCGCCGTGCCTGGCGCTGCTGCACGGAAACGTATTATCTCCTAATCGTTAGAGGGCCCTGCATTATTCTGTGTAATTAACTTGACATTATTTTGCTCAGAAATTTAATTCATTCTGGATCTTAGTTTCAAATAAAGATTTGCATGATGCATAATTTAGAAAATAACAAAACCACAACACAAACCCACAGCTGCTCCCCACACCGCTTCCCAGGTTCTTTAGCGGAGAGCGGGGTGGCTTTGTCTTTGGGGGTGACATGTGTGTGTGTCTGTGCTTTTGCAGTGTGTGACATTCCTCTGCATGACATTTGTGACTACAACGTCTCCAGGGACCGATGCAAGGAGCTCGGGTGCTGCTTCTACAAAGGCGTCTGCTACGAGAAAGCAGTTCCCAGTGAGTAGCCATCCCGGCCACCCCACCGCGGAAGCCGAGGGAGCTGGTGACGGTGCTGACCGCCGCCCTGCCTGTCTCCCTTCCCCGGGGTCTCTGTTTGCTGGAAACACCTTTGTATTGTTCTCTGGCCACACTCTTCTGCTCCGTCTTAGTGGGGGCAGTAGACTCTGAGTGGGGTCTGAGCTGGAGGGCCTGTGAATGTGAAGTAAGCCACCAGAGGAGTTCCATTCCCAGATGGGCTGGGCAGGGCATGGACGGGGACGGATGGAGACCCCCTTTGTGGAGGAATTTGGCCATTCTGGGTGGTTGCAGAAGCTGGATTTGAGGAAACAGTGCTGCAGAAACTTGTGGTGGTGGCAGGGCCCGAGCCAGTGGCGAGGTGTGGGGTGAGCCCATCAGGGTGGAGTGGACCTTGTCTGCCACGGGCTCTGTGAGGACAGCAGAGACGCTTGGCCCTGACTGGGTACTCTGTGGGTGGCTTCAACGTTGGACTAGAAGCCAGACCACACATGAAGATCTGCTGGTAGCCCCTCAAGCCCCTCAAGCAGCACGGGGGTGAAGTGAGGACAACAGACACCCAGTGTGTGGGGTGTGGGGGCTGGAGGCATTGCCACTCCCCATCCCCATGAAGGCTTCCGGAGGGAGGCGCGCCCTTCAGAGGACCGTGGCTAGTTGTAAAATGTGTTCGAAGGGAGGTGGGAGGAAGTTAAGAAACCAGGATGGCGTGCGCGTGAAGGGCATTGGGCCCCACCTCCTCAGCAGATTCTCGCCTGTGGGCACGCTGGCCTTCTGCGCTGCTGAGGTCTTCTCATGTCCAAACTCTCATCAAGGCCCACAGGAAGCTTCATGTGTTTCCTTCCTTGTCCTGTGGAGGCCCCTCTTGGAAATGAGGGTAAAGGGGCTCTTAGTGCTGCGTGGGGAGGGGCGGACAGCAGCATAGAAGGGATCGGCCTGCACAGTGTGCTCTTGGGAGGGAACAGTGCAGCCCTTGACGATGGAGATGCTGGATGTGGCCGATGATCTCTCACGGCTTTAGGCTTCCTTGGAGATGAGTTCCAAACCCTCCCTGTCCTAGGCCACTCTTTTCTCCACCCCCAGCACCCCAAAGTGAGTAAAGGCCCCTGACTTTGTGCAGCTCAGGGCCATTTCTTCCTCCTTTTACTTCTTTCTCCTGCATTTCCCGCTAGACTGAGCCCTCAGAGACCAGGCACCAGGTCCTCTTCATTCCCTGTACCTAGTAGGGCTTAGAAAGTCAGGAAACGTTAGTGACTGATGGGAATGAGTGACTGATGGAAATTTCTGAGTAGTGCCCTGCTGGTGGAACCAAGTGTGAGTTCGGCTGCTCACCGCTTGCAAAACCCATAACAAATGAAGGGAGAGTGACTTTATTTCCAAAGCTAGCAGTGGGAAAGTGGCTGACTTGCGCTTCCAACTTTAGGCTGGGGAGAGGGGCTTAAAAAGAGGAACTTAGAATGGGAGGCATGTGGGAGGGGTGCTACTCAAGATCCGAGGGTCTCGTTCCGGTGGCTGTCTCAAGCCGTGGCCCACCTGGAGCGTGGGGTGGTGTCATCTTGATGGCTGGTTGTAGACTCACAACCTTCAGGGGATCTCTGGCATTTTGCAGCTGGGTCTCTGTGCTTGGTCTATCTCAAGATGAGCCCCTAGAACTTGTAAGTAAGCCCATAATTAAATACCAGCGCACAGTTAGATAAATGTGCATGGGGCTAGGGGGTGCGTGGTGAGAAAGGGAGACCGTGGTGTTGAAAAGAAAGTACATTTCAAGGCTGTATTTTAAGACTAAGGAGAACAAAAGTTTTCCGCAGTAAGCTTTCTGCATCGTGAGACTACAGGAACAAGAGAAAAAGGAAAAAAGTTTTAAAATTCATTTTCAGGCTAGACCGTTTGATTACATGGGGACTGCCCAGTCCCACAGACATAAAGCTTTAAGCCAGCTCTTCTGAGATGAAAGGGATATTCTGGGCACAAAATCAGTCAAGAAAGAAAGTGCTGACGGGATTCTGGCTTGCTCCAGGGAGGATGTCTGTCCTGCTTCGTGGTGAAGATTTGGCACCTCATCAAAACAAGATGAATTTTGGCTCCTCAGAGGCAAACGAGAGGTCACAATGGATACCACTGATAGTTGGGAAGGTTTTCTGAGGACGACGGCTCCTGCAGATCTTGGCTTTAGAGACTCAGGACCAGACCCCTTGCTGTCCCAGCCTCCACTTCCAGGAGCCTCTGGGATTCCCGGGATCCCACACCTTCCTCTGACTCCAGATAAAATCAGTTGGAAATTGCTTCAGTTATTATTTTTACTAAGATACTATACCACAAAATTCACCTTTTAAAGTATACAATTCAGTGGCTTTTAGTATACTCACAGTGGTGCGGTCATCGCCATTAACTCCAGAACATTTGCACCACGTCAGAAAGAAACCTCATGCCCATCAGCAGTCACGTCCCATCCTTCCCTCTCTCTGGCCCCTGGCAGCTACTCATCTCTCTACGGACTTCCGTATTATGGACATTTCGTATAAATGGAACCACGTGACTTGTGGTTCTTTCACTTACATAGTTCTCAAGGTTCGTTCATGTTTTAGCAGCTATCAGTACTTCATTTCTCTTTATTGTTGAGTAATTGTCCACTGTATGGATGTGCCACATTTTGTTGACCCATCTATCAGTTTATAGACACTTGGATTGTTTCCACTTTTTGGCTATTCTAAGTGATGCTGCTCTGAACATTTGTATATAGGTTTTTGTGCAAACATGATTTTTATTTTCTTGGGTATATTTCTAGGAGTGGAATTGCTGGATCATATATTAACTCTATGCTTAAATTTTTAAGGAACTTCCCAACTGTTTTGCAAGGTGGCTAGATCATTTTCCAGGCCAATCAGCAGCATATGAGAGTTCCAGTTTCTCCACATTCTCACCAACACTTGTTGTTGTCCTTTTGTTTATAGCCATTGTCATGGATGTGAAGTTGTATCTCATTGTGGTTTTGATTCGTATTATTCTAATGAATAATGATGTTCACCATCATTGCATTTTTTTTTTTGGGGGGGCTATTTGGATATCTTCTCTGGAAGAAAAGTCTATTCAAGTCCTTTGTCCGGTTTTAAATTGGGTTGTCTTTTTATTATGGAGTTGTACAAGCTCTTTATGTATTCTGGATATTAAACTCTTATTAGAAATATGACTTGCAAATACTTTCTATTATTCTCTTATGTCTTTTATTTTTATTGAGTTTCTGTCCATTTTCACCATTTTTCCTTTTGTTGCTTATGCTTTGGTGTCACATCTAAGAAACCATTGCCTAATCCAAGGCTGCAAAGATTTATACCTGTAATATCTTCTAGGAGTTTTATACTTATAACTCTTACATTTTGGTCTTTCGATCCTTTTTGAGTTAACTTTTGTATCTGGTGCAAAGAAGGTTTCCAACTTCATTATTTTGCATATGGATATTCAGTTGTCCCAGCATCATTTGTTGAGAAGATTCTTTTTTTCCCATTAAATTGACACCGTTGTTGAGAATCAGTTGCCCATAAAAGTGAGTTTACTTCTAGATTCTCAATTCTATTCTGTTCATCTGTATGTCTATCCTTAGCCAGTACCAGTTTTGATTACTGTAGCTTTGCAGTAAATTTTGAAATCAGAATTTGTGAGTGCTTCAACTTTGTTCTTCTTTTTCAAGATTATTTTGGGGATTATGGGTCCCTTGTATTTCCATACCAAATTTAGCTCATCAGTTGCTGCAGAAAAGAGGTCCTTTGGCAGTTCGATTGGGGTTGTGTTGAATCTGTATGTAATTTGGGAAGTATTACCATCTGAACATGATATTAAGTGTTCTGGTCCATGAACAGGAGTAGTCTATTTATTTCAGTCTTTAATTTTTTTCAATATTTTATAGTTTTCAGGGTACTGATCTTGAGCTTCTTTAATTAAATTTATTCCAAAGTATTTTATTCTTTTTAATGTTAAAATAAATTGAATTGTTTTCTTCATTTTCAGATTGTCTATTGCCAGCATATAGAAATGTAATTGATTTTTGTATGCTGATTTTGTATATGGCAACCTTGTTGAACTTGCTTACTCTATTAGTTTTCTGGTTGATTCCTTAGGATTTTTTGCATACAAGATCATGGCATCTGAAAATATAGTTTTACTTCTTTTTTCCTAATCTGAATGCCTTTTAGTTCATTTTCTTGCCTAGTTTCTGACTAAAACCTCCAGTACAATGATGAATAGAATTACGAAGGGCAGAAGCCTTGTCTTTTTCCTGATCTTAAGGAGAAATTTTCAGTGTTTCACCATTAAATACAGTGGTGACTGTGGGTTTTACTAGATGCCATGTATCTATTAATAGTAAATGCAAGAAACAACTTGGAAACACACAAGTTGAGAAAGCTTCCTCCTCTTCCTGCTTTGTTGAGTGTTTTTATCATGAAAGGGTGTTGGATTTTTTTTCAAATTCTTTTTCTGCATCTATTGAGCACCTTAATGGTGACTTTTATTACTTCATGTGAATTTGACTTACTGTCTACTCTTCTTTCATTTCATCCTAAAGGACTCCCTTTGGTATTTCTTATAAAGAAGTTTTGCCAGTGATGAATATCCTGACTTTGTTTATCTGGAATGTCTTAATTTACCCTTCATTTTTTTTTTTTTTTTTTGAGGCGGAGTCTTCACTCTGTCGCCCAGGCTGGAGTGCAGTGGCACCATCTCGGCTCACTGCAAGCTCCGCCTCCCGGGTTCGCGCCATTCTCCTGCCTCAGCTTCCCGAGTAGCTGGGACTACAGGCGCCCGCCGCCGCGCCTGGCTAAATTTTTTTGTATTTTAGTAGAGACGGGGTTTCACCGTGTTAGCCAGGATGGTCTCGATCTCCTGACCTCGTGATCCGCCCGCCTTGGCCTCCCAAAGTGCTGGGATTACAGGCTTGAGCCACCGCGCCCGGCTACCCTTCATTTTTGAAGCATAGAGTTGCTGTATATAAA